ACGTACGCAGATCTCCATGACTCCATTCCACTCGCCTCTCTAAAATCGCTTTGTACCAGCACGCTTCTGCTTCCTCGTACACGTCCCTTTGCAGGGGATAAGGAATCCTGGTAGTGTGGGGGTTTCAGCAGGGGCTTCTAATCACACGGTCAGCAGTTCCAACTCACCAGCCACTTGGAGGGAGAAAGATGGGCTGTCTGCTCCTGTTAACTTTACAACTTCAGTAAACCCTAGGGGGCAGTTCTTGCCTGTTCTATAGGGTCTTTATGAGCTGTTTGCTGGCTTAGAGCATTCAGGATAGCCTTTCCTGGCTACCTGGACTGGAAGCTACAGCTGCTGTTGAGTAGATGATGGCTCTTGGCCACCCCAGGAATGTCCGAGAATAATTGTGGTTCACAGCACTTGCAATGACTGGAGTTTTGGAAGTAGATCATCTTTCTTCTGAGGCACTGCTAGGTGGACTTGAACTCCCGACTTTTGGGTTAGCAGCTGAGGGCATTAACCGCATGTGCCATCCAGGGACTCCTAACTAAAAGGGCTTCCTAATCATACACTAGGAGCCCTTGTGGTGTCGTGGTTTATGTGTTGGGCTGCTAACACAAGGTTAGCAGTTTGAAACGACCAGCTGCTCCTCAGGACAAAGACGAGGCTTTCTACTCCCGTAAAAAAAAAATTACAGTCTTGAAAACCTACAGGGGTATTTCTACCCTGTCCTGTAGGGTCGCTATGAGTTGCCAACCAAGGAGTTGGATGGCAGTGAGTTTGAGATTTTGGGTTAAATTATACACTATCCATTTCTTGCATTCTTTTCCTTTTCCTTAAATAGCACTTGTTATTATCTGAAACCATGTATTTTCTGTCTTCCAAACTAAAAAAGCACAGTCCTAGGCGACAGAGATGCTACCCAACCTGTTTGCTGCTTTATCCCCGGGACCTGACATGAGGCCTTTTACCCACAGGCAACCAGGAACGACAGAAATACTCCTTTGCAAGGATATTCTTGCTTTTAATGATGTTTCTCTTGCTTGGATTATGCCTCTCTCCCGTGGCTTCTGAAAATTAAAAAACCCAAAACTGAAAACCCTCTTCTCTTGGGGAGGGCCATCCTTCTAAGTTATCTTACTCTGTTTGGTTTTTAGTCCACGTTCCTGGTTATTGATAGTCCGTCCTGCCTACGTTCTAATTGCAACTGGGCACTCTTTCATGCGAGTGCCCCTGGAAGAATGGAAGGAGAAATACAGCGCGTGACAGCTCTCGGGGGTGGTCTACCATCTGGCTGGCCAGGGAGAGCATTCGGATTCTGGCCAGAGTTTCCAACCCAAATCAAGGCTCCCTGGCTGGCCCTTCCCACTTCCAGGGGTGACGAGTGGCCGGGCCAAGGACATTGACATGTGAACATGTGAGAGTCGTGGAATTTCTTTATAAGGAGATATGGAAGCAAATACTGAAATGGAAACTCTCCCTGAAGATTTCAGGGTTGAAGGTTTAACATGGACAAAGTTGTGCATGTAGAGCCTACAACAAGCACAGAGGTCAGAGATAAAGGGGAGAAAACGTCACCTATTGGGGTAGCTCTGGGAGCTGTGAATCTTTAAAATCAGAGGCTTTGAGCACCCCTGTCCTGCACTGCTGACACATCCTAGGTGGCCATCAAAGGACAGGCCCCTTAGCTCCCTTCTGACCAGCAAGAGATGTGGGAGTGGGAGAAGCCTTGGGTCCCACAAGCTCCCCATCTCCTCCCCCGGCCCCCACACAGCCACCTTCCCCAGCTCAGGCCTGCTCCTTCTCGGCTTCCCTTTGTATAGAACGCCCTCCCCGAGCAAGCCTGCCCCCTCACTCCCTCGGTCACCATAAAGAACTTGCGCACTAAGGCTCACGTTTCCTTCTGGACTCTCGGTAGGCATCTGCTCACCCCCATCAAACCAGTGAATCCCCAAAGGAGGGAGACCCAGGTTTCCTTCTCTCCGGCTGGCCCCAGGGGCAGGGTAGGGCTCTGGGCATGGGGATGTGCCCTCGTTTGGGGCACAGGAGACTGACGGGTAGTGAGGGCCCCAGTTTTCAGAAGTTCATGGAGGACGTCAGAGCAGGCAGGACCAGACTCGGCTGCTGACTCAGCCCCTCATGAATTAAGTGCCTGACCTGGCTCTGGCTCTGATGTAGGAAAGAAAAAGGTGCCCAGCTGGCACCGGGCCTCCTGCCCCCTTGTATCAAATGCCCATGTATTCACAGTTCTCGAGCCGCTGTGGGGTGTGCCTGGGGAGGAGGACAGAGAACTCGGACATTGTATTCCAGCCGAGACACAGCCCTCGTTTGTGTGTCTGTAACATGAGCAGGTTAATCTGATCAAACGGTCAAATGTGTGGGAAATTAGATCCCGCTGTGGACCGCAGAGATCTCTGACCATGAACTTGAATCTTTCCTCCACCACCCTCCCCTTCTCCACTGAACTGAACATTGTTCAAAGTATCTTTTGAGTCGGCAGGCCCTCAAGGTAGGGCGCGTTATCCTCCGATCCACCAGCTCCCTGAAATTAACATGCCAACACGTGTGCGCGCAGACTGTCTTGGGCAACTGCACGCGGCGGTGGGGAGAGGGGCGTAGCTCCTAGCAGCTTCTCTCTCAAAGGTCGGCCGGGCCCGGGAACATGAGAATGGCTGGCTTTGGTTTTTCAGAGATGCTGGAATTGGCCGGCAGAGAAACTCTAAGGCACCCGAGGAAGAGATGACCAGAGCACAGGTGAGCAAGTGTCTGGGGGCCCCTGGGAGCAGGCACTTTGGAGGGGACGATGCCGGGGCCTGTGCCGCCCTTAGTGGCTGCTCCTGTCAGGCTGACCTGACCCCGCGTCACTAGCCTGGCCCGGTTAGAGGAGGGGCCCAACCTGGCACTTGTGCCTCAGAAGCTCATCGCATGGGGAGCACAAGTGAGAACTCCCAGCACGTGATTCAGGGAGGAGTAGCGTCCAGGGGACAGTGGCACAGGGCTGGAAGGGACAGGGTCCTGGGGCAGTCCAGTAGGAGGGGAAGGTGGGCCCCTGCACGGACCACACCCTCGTCCCATTGCCACGGAGATTTCCCAGGGAGGACCTGCGGGCCTCGCCTAGCTCTGCCCCGAGAAGCCCTGGTGGCACGGTGGTTGAACACTCAGCTGCCCACGGAAAGGTCTGTGGTTGGAAGCCACCAGCTGCGCTGTGGAAGGCAGACGTGGCAGCCTGCTGATATATAGATAGACAGCTTTGGGAGGCCCGTGGGGAAGCCTTCCCTGTCCTCTCGGGCCCCGACATCAACTCCATGGCAGTGGGGTGTGTGTGTGTGTGTGTGTGTGTGTGTGTGTGTGTGTGTGTGTGTCAATCGCAGTCAGGCTTTGCCCCTTCGTCCCGGAAATGGAATGGACACGCGCCTCGTCCCCCAGGCCCTGCTCACGCCATCCTTGATATCGAGGGGCTTCTCTGTGGAGGGGCATCCACCACTCTCCCACTCAGTCCTCCTGCCACCCCTCCCCCGGGCCCAGTCCTCTAGGGGTGGAGTACCGCCCCCTAACCCGGAGGGCAGGAGGGGTGCTGGGAAGGGAAGGCGGCAGCGGCAGCCTTCTGCTGGTGGCCCAAGAGTCTAGGATGGGAGTTGGTTCCTGCCCTCAATTTGGGGCTTAGGCACAGAAGGGCCACCTCGGACAAGCCCAGACACCACATGCCACCAGGGAAGTGCATCCCAGTCCAACAATGCCCGTCCCACAGGCCCTCTGCTCTAACAAGCCCCGTCACCCCACTCCCAAGGGATTTGGAGGACTCGCTCTGGGAACGCTGAGCCCTCTGCCTCTCTTTCTACCCATGACCACACCACCCCTCTGCCCTCCAAGTTGCCTTTGTTCTGAAACACACCTTCTCCAGCTGAAACCTTGCCAAAGACTCATTTCTTCCACAATGCTTTTAGCAGGTCACGGAAGTCGATGACCTTTTGAGGGTCATTTTCTAAAACAAACCGAAGCTTCAGCCACACCACGTATCCCAAAGTTCTACCCACACATGCCCGTCCTGAAGACTCCGCATATGTGGTTTTCTGGGGATGCCCTTCATCTCTTCTTCTCTCCAACGATAACGCACTGACCCTTTAAGGCCCAGCTCCACGCTGGCCTCCACTGTGAGGCCCCCTGCCATGCCAGGCAGAGCTAATAGCCCCGGGCTCTGCCCTCCCAGAGTCCATTGTCCCCACCCATCGAGTTAAATGAGACGCACTTTGAAGCGCTTACCCTGAGCCAAGTGCTGGTGGCACACACATCAGCTCACTCATCACGCATCGTGGGTCCCCGGCAGACCATGTGAGGGAGCCAACCGCCTTTACTTCTTTAGAAGACGCCACTGAAGTCCAGAGAGGCTCAAGGCCACAGCACTTGACTGGAATCCCTGGACGTCAGACCCCCAAGCCCATGGTCTTTTCAGCTGTACGTGGTTGGGCGTTGTAAGGGCCTCTGACCTCACGAGGGTTGGTAACTCTCCGAGGCAGGGCCTACCTCATCTGTCATGGTGTCCCCCAGGCCGAGGTCAAGGCCAGGCCCCAGGGCAGGTGCTCAGTAGATGTTTGCAGAACTGCCTTGAAGGGTGAGCAATCTCACGTCCTCATGAACAATCATAGCAAAGAGGGCTTGAGGTGGAATCTTCAAGAGCAGAAGAGCGGTTTGCAAGTAGGATACAGGGGGAAGGAAGGCCCACTTCCCACTCGGCCTTGGCCTCTCCCAGCTTTTCAGAACTGGGATCGGGCGTGGCAGTCTTCAGGGAACTCTGGAGGCCACAACTGCGAAGCTCTTTACGGGAAGGACGAATGAAACCCCGCTTTAGGAATGTGGCCTATTTGCCTCAGTCCCACGACCTTGACTTCTTCCTCTCCCCAGCCTTTATGATGAGCGGTGAGGACAGGCAGGAGACCATGAGGTGGTACCCGCTCCCTCAAGCCCACCCTGTCTCCCTTCCCAGAGTGCCCCTGGCAATCCAAGGGCTCCTCTCGCCTCACCTTCAGTGCTGGCGTCATCCACCAGGATGATCTCCTTCAGGAAGATGGCAGGGGCCGTGTGTAGGACGCTGTACACAGTCCGCAGCAGCGTGGACCAGGCCTCGTTGTGGAACACAATGATGACGCTGGTGGTGGGCAGCTGCGGGCAGCGATGGAACTTCTGGTCCACACACCTAGAGGGATGAAAGCGTGGACAGAGCTCTCCAGATCCCCGAGAGGCCCCTGGGAGATGGGGGCCTTGTCCATGGGGTCCTCAGAACCACCCTTGGTTCCTCTGAACCAGCAGCCGTACTCCCTGTCCCAGGCTCAGAGTCCCTGGGCTACAGCACTAGCTCCAGGGAAACCGAAAGACTGGAGGCTCGAGTCCGCAGGAGGGACCTTGGAAGGCAGGCACGAAGACCTGCTGTATTTTTCTCACACAATGCACCCAGGTAAGTCACGTGCACAATGCACACAGGAGACGAGTGTCTGAGGGGGTTACACAAAAACTCATGTAATGCACACGCTATTTGTGTAAAGAGATGATACTGCAAAAAAATATATCAGCCATTGGAATCGCTGTGGGAGGTAGCTCTACTCTGGCACACGTAGAACTTGGACTTGACAACAACGGGCTGGTTTGATTGGTCCCTGGAACATGCTGAAGGAGACTCGGAGGCACAAGGGGTGGAACACTGGGCTGCTTAACGGCAGGCTCAGCAGCAGTTCAAAACCACTAGCCACCCCATGGGAGAAAGGTGAGGCTTCCTATGCTTTTGCCAAGACTTTCAGTCTCAGAAGCCACTGCGTCCTTCAGGGTCACCATGAGTCGAATCAAGTGAGTGTTTCGATTTGGTTTGGCTTTATATCTGCCACCCAGCCTGAGCCTCTGCCCTGGTCCATAGCCCATCTCCCCAGGGCTGGCTCCTCCCACCAGGCATGATGCTGAGGATGCTCTCTCGGTCTGCTTGTGGCTGTCAGGTGGGCAGTTCCAGAGCGAAGCGGTCCTCTCTTCTTCAGTAATGTGTGTGCTGGGTCAAGTGTAACCCAACCCAGAGGTCCCCGAGGGGGCAGTGATAATTGGCATCTGAGAAAAGCGACAGGAGACACCTCCTCTCTTTACGTTGTAGAGTTCCTCTTGAATCCATGTCCTCATTAAGTCCCTACAAGCTGACACGATCATCATGTCCAAGTCCTGTGACCTTTCTCTGTCCTTCTCCACACCAGTCACTCAGTGGCACTTGGCCGTAGCCCCTCCTTGACAAGGCGTTTTGGGGGTGGGGAGGGGAGTCCTTTGCTGGTCACCCTCTACCAGCTGTCTGCACATCCTGAGGTAGTTAGCTTATTGTGCCAACCAGGCTGATAAACACAGGTGGGGTTAATTGAAGGGCAGAGGGATAAATGGCTTGGTGAGCCTGGCCTTTCTAGTTCTCGGGTCTCTTGCTCTCTGATGGTCGGACCAGGGTGCAGCTGCCTTATCCAGTTCTCTGCTTTAGCTGGCAAGGCTCACTTCCTGCAAGACATCCCTGCAGAGAAGCCACATGGACCTACCTCGATGCAGCCCTGGGTGCTGGAGCACCCGTGTGGAGACCCCTGCTAGTGCTGAGATGCTTACACATTCACTGACTCGGCTTTCCTCCTGCAGTTGGCATCATTGTGTGTGTTTTGTGAGATGGAGGAGGACTTTGTGGATTGGTGTCAGACATATGGGTTAATGTTGGACTTGTGGGCTTGGGCAGCACTGGTTTGGGATGTTTTCTTGATGTGCGCTTAAACCTTTATATAAAACTCTCTCTTATACATGAGTTTCTGTGGATTTGTTTCTCTAAAGTACCCAGACTAACACACACCCAATGCCCTTTTTTTTCTCTCTAACAGTTTTGTTAGCACTTTATCCACATGTCATACAATTCAATAATATCAAGAAGAGTTGCACAATCATCATCATATTCAATTCTAGGATGTATTCTTCTTCCTTGTAGTCATGTAATTTTTTTTCTTTTCTAATTGTGCCCAATGCCCTTTTCTGCTGATGAATTCCCGATGCCCAGTTTCCATGGCTTCTTCTTCTAGGGCAGCTAGAATGCTTGGTCTGAATCTGAGGCCCCTAGAGAACACAAAACCTCTTTCACAGCCATCGAATGGATGCTGACTCATAGTGACCCTACTGGACAAGGCAGAACTGCCCCTGTGTGCTTCCTAAACTATAACTCTTTATGGGAGGAGAAATCCCCGTCTTTCTGCAACCGAGCAGCTGGCGGTTAGAACTGCAGACCTCGCAGTTAGCAGCCCAATGTGTAACCACTACGCCACCAGGGCTCGGCCCCCAGGTTCATAGCCCAAAAGAATCATGAATTGAGGCATGGAGGCTGCCTGGTAAGAGAAGGCCAGAAAGAGTCTAAGTCTTGAGTCAGGAGGACAAAGGCTACATGAAGCAGACACGATGTCTTCCACTGAAGGCCACAGCCCTGGTTGTGTGAGAGCCAGGGAGCCAAGCTTTGGTTTTGCCGGTCAATCTGGAAAAGACAAGTTCAAATACAGGCTGGAAGGAAATCCTGGTTTGTGGCCTCCGTGAAGAAGTCCAGGAGCCGTGAGCATCTTCCACACCAGAGGGGCTGCTGCCAGCAAACGCCCCCCACCCCAGCACCGGCTCTGATCTGGGGTTTGGGGGTGAGTTCAGCGAAACCACAGCCTGGACTCAGTCCTTCGCAGGGGCCCCTGTAGCAGGTCTGGCCCCAGGCTCTGCGTGCCTTCCTCTGGATCCTGTCACCTCCATCTCCTTGGCTCATTCCTGCTGGTCTCTCGGGGCCTCTAGCATCACTATACTAGAGTGCACTGCATGCCCACCCACCCCCGACCCCCACCCCACCAGGGATCAGGCCAATGGGTCTGGGGAAACCAACTGGTCTGGGGCCAGAGGAAATTCTCCCCCCTATTTTAAAACCTCCGTTCATCCTTTCCTTGTCATTAGGCTGTGGCTGTGGTGAGGATGCCCTGAAGAGTTCAGGGAAGAAGCGAGAACTTGGTGCTTCAAACCCAACCAGAGGCACTCTGGGAGAAAGGGCTGGCCATCTATTTCTGACAGATCGTAGCCACTGGAAGCCCTACGGTGCACAGTGCTACCCTGACACCCGCAGACGGGGTGGGCATGAAGTCAAAATGACTCCATGGTAACTGTTTTTTTGGGGGGGCGTGGAGGGGTGGGTGGGGAGCGGGGTGATGGTCACAGCGATCCCATCTCTGGCAGGGTCCGGCCTCACCCCAGGATTTAGGTGTTACTCACTCAGGAGCCCGTGAGTCCGGTCCCAATGCCCTCTGTAGGGAAATGCGGTCACTGGCAAAGGCGTTGAAGCAGTGCTTCTTGTAGCCCTCCTCTTTCTCCTGGGTCTCTTGGGGGGTCCATGTGCTTTTCTGAAATGCTTTCCCATCTGCCCCAGGGCTGTTGGGGTCCTGGGGCGGCCGCTCCCAGAAGGGCTTCAGTTCAGCGGACGCATAGAAGCCAGGGAGGCAGGACAGGCTTGTGGGCACCATGGTCTCCTGGGGCTCCGGAGCCTTGATCTGGAGTTTGGGGATCGAATCCCGGAGGTTGTTGACGGCTCCCAGCATGAGGTCCAGGACGTGGTCCTTCTGACTCACCAGGGACTGCAGCCATGGTTTCTCGGTGGCTTGCTCCCTGTAGCTCACGTCCCTCTGCAGGATGAAGAGGAAGAGCAAGAAGGCGCCGCCCACCATGGCCAGGCGCAGGGGCATGTGGCGCCTACGGAGGAGCCTCATCCTCCGGAGTCAATGGGGGCCACGGCCAGTCGGTGCCAAGTGCGGGGGCCCACGCTGGATATCGCTCTATGTGCTGACGTGGCCACACCTTGGGGTCTGCGCCTGAAAGGGGGTGGGGCAAGAAGGCGAGAGATGAGCCAGGGGGAGTGGAGGGAGGCCTGGGGTGAGCGTGGAGTCCAGGTGCGCTGTTGAGGGGCGGCATCTCCTTAGGGCCAGTTGCTTAACTTTCCTGTTTCAAAATTCCCTTTTTTCAATTTTCCTATGTCAGAATTCACTGTGTCTTGCCTGCACTAAGATTCCGAGATTCCTGAATCTAAAGAAACCAGGCATCGGACGCACTATTCCTAGATGCTCAACCTCATTTGGCCTACTGCACTCTTCTCTGGAAAACGTGACTTACTGTCCCCCCAGCCATGAATAACTTTTGTACTCTAGCTTGAAATGTAGGATAAAGTGTAGGTATCTGTCTTTCTAGCCCCGTTGGGATTATTCCAGCCAGCGCTCCTTCCCCCCTGGGGATGATATCACCCCTTTGATCAATACTGGATTATATGAAGAGATTTACATCAATAAAACTACTTTGGGAAGCAATTTGGCACGATGATTTAAGGATGATTTAAAAGGTACACGCCCTGTAATCCAGCTGTGCCACCCCTAGTTTTTCTGTCCCAGAATGAATAAAATGTGCAATCCATCCACTCTTCACTTATCAACATGGTAGGGTTCCAAGGACCAGATTATTATATAAAAATCAGTGTTATGTGAAAATGGAGGCTGGCCGTGTCAGATGACAAACTGGAAGATGACCACCTCATTACATAACTGCCCAACCACGTCCTGACATAGACACCAAATTACATCATTATATAACTGCCAAGCCACTGAGAATCAGCCCAGCCAAGCTGACCTACAACCGTAACCTCCTATTGTAGCATACTGACAGCTGTACATCATCAGTGCACCAGACGGTACCCAGGACAGTCGGTTTTCTACCACTGTCTTGTGCAACCTGCCAGATCATGAGCCTGTTGGCCAGTGAGGAGCAGCTGGAACACCACAGCAGTCAAGAAGGAGCCACTTCTGCACGCGACAACACGGATGCAACACTGAGTGAAAAAAAGCACGTTGCCGAAAGATAACACACAATGCCTATTGTATTAAATAGTATTTTGTTTAGGAAAACATATATACGGCAAAACTATAAAGAAAACTAGAGGGAAGATAAAACCAAGATTTCAGAAGAGAGAGGGAAGTACATGGATAGAGACTTCAAGGGGAATTTGAGCTAGGGTGTGTCTCGGACACTGGTGGCCGTAGCTGTTGGTGGCATTGTTGTTCTATACACCCTGTTGTTGGCGGTGCCGTCAAGCAATTTTGACTCGTAACAACCCTATTAGACCCCACCTACATTTTACAAATGTTCTTTGGTACATCTGCTCGTGTCTTGCCTTTTATTGGGGCAAAACACACATGAAATAAAATGCGTGCTCTCTTACCATTTCAGACCCCATGAAAACATCTTCCAGGCAGAACTGACCATAGACACCATACCCCCAAGCACACGCCCCACCCTCACCTCCACCCCAGCTCAGAGAATGAATGTGGCAACACTTTCTGTAGAAAAATCTGTGAGCCCAACACTTGCTGCTTAAATGCTAGATGTTGGTGGTAGCAGACCAGGACACAAATCCCAGATCCGCCCCTTATTGCAATAGCACCTACCTCCTAGAGCTGCTTTGAAGATTAAGCTCAATGAAATCATTCATGAAAAGTGTTTAGTTGTCCCTGCACATGGTAAATGCTCAGAAAGTGTTTTTTTTTTTTTAATGATTAGCAGCCGTGTGATCCTTGGACAAATTATTGGATTTCTCTAAGCCTCGATTTCCTCCGCTATGAAATGACGGTAACTAAGGCTTAGCTCACAGGGTTGTGGCGAGGGTAAATCCGACAATGTGCATAAAGTACTGTATTTTCACGTGAATCACAGCATGTCACATGGATCTTGTGGACCACACAATCCCCTCCCCTGCTAGTTTCTAGTTCGTGCTGTGCCTATGCAGGCGCGTGTTACTTAGTGGACATGTGACTGTGGGAAGGTGTGGTAGCTGGCAGAGAGCCTGGCCACTTTCAAAGAGGGGCCTTCGAAGAGATGGTGGGAAAAACTCAAATTATCTTTTCATTCCGTTTGTACATAAACTGAAGACCCCTCGTATACTGACCCTACAATACCAAGCCATGGAGTGGATTCCGACGCACTGTGACCTTACAGGACAGGGTGGAACAGCCCCTGTGGCCTTCCTAGACTGTAACTCTTCGCCAGAGTAGAACGCCTCTTCTTTTTCTTTCTCCTGCGGAGCGGCTGGTGGTTTTGAACCGCTGACCTTGTGGCTAGCACCAACATGTAACCCCCTACACCACCAGGGCTCCTCCAGCCTGAAATAGATGGCATCAATGATCGCTATAATGACTAATAAGTCCCTGCTCAATTTGCCGGCCATTATTCTCACGCATCTGGTCCTTGGCCAAAGTTACACCTGTCATTCCTCAGTACGTCTTGCTCAAAAGCCATGCCAGTGGAGCTACTCCGTGCTGTTATTTATTTATACATATAGGCCCCTGCTGTGGAGGAGGCTAGGTGTATCTAGGTAGGGGGAAGCAGGGTTCACGCTGGGCAGAAGAAGACAGGTGGTTTATTTTATAACATCGGAGACAGTAGCAGCATAATGAAATCAAAGGGACATCTCTGAGTGTCTACTTCTTTTGGACATCATCCAGGAGGCAGGAGAAGAGAGATGCTCATTCTGCCCCTACCTGTCAAATACCTGTGATATGCCAGGTAGCCTGAAAGATGTAGGGGTACAGAGGTGAGCAAACCCAGCCCTCAAGCACTACACGGCCAATTGGTGGGGAAGCCAGATTTAAAGGCAGCAGGACAGAGCCAGCTCAGGTGCCGAGGAAACTCAGCAAACAGGGCAGGGAGGGCGTCTGTGAGGAGGCCCTGCAGGAAGAGCAGCTCGGGCTGAGTCCCAACCCGTGAGCAGGATCTGCAGGCCAGGAGGGCACCTTTTACACTGGGCCAAGGCCCAGTGGTGGCATAGAGCAGGACCAAGCAGAAGAGTGTGGGTAGTTTGGTATGGGGTGTGTGTCGAAGGGGGACAGAAGTAGTGGGAGATGCGTTTGGAAGGTTGGTTGAAGCCAAGATGGGAGGGCCTTGTTCATCACACCAAGCAACTCACCCTTGACGTGAGGGGCTGGGAGCGATGCAAGGAAACCGAGGATTATAGAAAGAGCACTAAGGCATCAGGGAGATGGGCCAGGTTGACAGATAGATGCCCAGTTAAGAGGGGCTCGGGGTCTGATACAAGATAACAGCAGTACTGATGGGGATGGCACAGGTGGTATTAGGGAAATTATCTTAATCATAAGGTAGAAAAATTCACGCCAGTAGGAATGCAGACGGGGATAAGGTTTGAGAGGCCACTCTCTTCCCCAAGGGCTTAAAAAAAAACCCCAGAAGAAGCCCTGACACTACTAGATCCAGGTAGCACCTGTGCGGGAAAAGAACAGGGGTAGGAAAAGGGATTTTCACTAAACATCTCACCTGCTCCAAAATGAATACAATGCACGCGGGATGACAAACAGCAAATGCCGAGCTGCGGAAGGCAGGGCCGCCCGTGGGTTTGGAAGGCTTCAAGGACGAAATGGGCATTAGGTGCTGAGACGGCTCCCTGTTCCAGAGTCCAGCTATGCTGGGGTCCTCTGTCAGTTCTAGAACTATCCTGGCTAAGCCCAATCAGAGGGCCAGGAGAAGTAGGGGGCAGGTGGGGCATGTTTGCCACCCAGCATTGAACCATCCTTGCTAATTGTTGGCCCGTCTTCCCAGTCCAGCAAGAGTGAGAGCCCAGCTAGAAACAAAGGCACGTAATCACTTCGTTACCAGCTGTGGCCAGTGCAGCCAGTGCTCAAAACTCACCTCCGGGAAGCCTCCCCTGACTGATTTGACTCAGAATCACCCAGGTGGCTCCAATTCCTTGCCCTGGCACTGCCTTCCAGTCCCTCCGGTGGGGCTCTCATCTCAGTTCCTTTTACTACACCCCCCCCCCTACACCTCTCCGCGCAGCCGTTCCTCAAGGCACTAACCACATCCTGAAGGAAACAAGACACCTAGGATTAGCCTGGGCTGTAAAGGACACTCTAGGATTAGCCTGGGCTGTAAAGGACACTCTAGGATTAGCCTGGGCTGTAAAGGACACTCTCGGTTGTTTGCTCAGCGTGTGGGCACCAGGAGAGGGCACTTGGAAAGAGACACATCATCCCACGGAAGCCAGGGATGTTGGGGTTGGGGATTCCTGCTCTCTGCATAGGAAATGATTCCCAGAAGGGAGGCAAGCCAGGGTGGGAGGTAACCCTTCCACCACCTGGAATGAAGAGCCCTTAGCTTAGTACTTCCCGGAACGCTGAGCGGTCACAGGGTGCTCAGCAGGTGTCCCGCATTACTCTCTTCCCGGCAGGCTCGATAGCTTGGTCTCCAGGTAAGCCACCATGGCGCCCACCGTCCTCACCCACCCTACTCTTGCTGCCGATGGTCCGTTTCTGGATCTTCCTCCTCCCCCCACCCTTGGACAGGCAACGCATCAGAGCATCTTGGCGTCAGTACTGAGATGACGTGGCAAATCCTCTTCTGCTCTGAAACGGAGCACGTGGCCTTGCTCCCACGCGGAACGACCCCCTCTGACTGGTATGAGGGGGCTCAGGCTTTGGCCACAGGATCGGGAAATAAATTCAGTGTGTTACAAGCCAGCATGAAGATATTACCCTAAGGAAGATATCAAAATCTATCCCTCGCACACCTTATTTCTAAACCTTTCAGCTATTACATACAATCTGAGAGCGCACTCAAAGTGTACGTTTGCTGTGGAGTTGATCCCGGTCCGTGTGTATCAGGGTGGAACTGTGCTCCACGGAGGTATTGCTTCTGGACAGTCTGATGGACGCCTCATTCCCGGACCATGATTCCACGGCTTGCGTGTGTTTCACAGGTGGTGCGCAGGCATCACCACCACCTTGAGAACGCTGTCTTCATGTTCAGTACATGTGCTGCT